GAGCGGGGCGGGAGCGGCGGGCCCGCCGCGAAGCTCTGCAGTGGCTGCGGCGGGAGACGGAGCCCCTCAAAGCGCAGTAGCGGCGGCGGCTCCGCGTGGTGTCACAGCGAGCTCGGTGCCACGGGGAGAGCGGGATTCTGGGAGCGCTTGGGAACAGCAGGGGGGTTTAAGCAGTGTCTTCCCCCATCCCTGTGTGGAAGTAAGGAGGGTTCCTGTCTGAGTGCTCTAGCGGGGTGGGGAGAGAAACAGAAAACAAAATAAAGAAGCATGTTGCCTTTGAAGCAGGTGTCTTATTGAAATAATGGTTCTAAGAGACAATACTGGAATATTTTATACTGTCTGATTTTTTTTTCACTGTAAAAACTCAGTATTTTTACATACTTGGGTTCCAGTTGATAATATGCTATACACACAGCAGAGCTGATCACAGAATAAAAGTTTCCAGCCCTTATTTGCTCCATCTGCCTTTTTTTTTCTTTTTTTTTTTTTTTTGTGGTCAGTGATGTGTTGGGTTAGCAAATGCATAGGAGTTTGTATAGAGGTACCCACTTAGCAAGAACTGTGTACAGAGCTGCCCGGTGCTCGGAGCGGGCTCGTGGGAGCAGTCGGTGCTGCCTGCGCTTTGGGGCAGGCTGTGGAAGGGCTGCAGTGACCCTCAGGAGAGGGTTGTGCATGCAGAGCACCCATGCAAGTACTTTGGGCCCTGGTAGGTCACTGAACACCTGCTTAGCTAGCAGGGGAGCACTGTCATGCAGGGACTGTTTGACTGGGGTAGGGGGTACTTGTCAAGTGAAAAAATGCTGCATATAGTGGGCAAAAGGTCAGGCAGCTTTGGCTCAAAATGAGTCTGCTCTTTAGCAGCAGGGACTGTGCTCTCGATTCCTAGGCAGTGCGTGAAGACATCTAGTGGTTAAGCAAACTGCTACAAGTGAAATGTCCTGCTGAGTCTTCCACTGTTTTTCACCTAGGAAGGAGAATTCCTTGCTCCACAGTCTTGGGGTCTTCCCCTCTTCTGAAAAGTCACTGTGTGTTGGCTGTGTGAGAGCAATGCCCACAATGCTAAAAGATGGCATAAATATGAGCACTTCTTTTAGTGAATGTATTCTTACATTAATGCTGCACATGTGATCAAACCATAACTCAATTTTAAATCTTAAAAAGAGCAATTGTGTCACAGCCACCCAGCTGCCTGACCTTTATAAATCTTAGTGACAAATGCACAAAAGGAAATTTTAATGTTATTTTTTCCAAAGAAATTCTAAGCAGGAAATATCAAACTGTTTAATGCCATGAAATTAATATTTCCCTTGAGTTTTGCAAAGCGGAGATAGCATCATGGAACTAAGCAGCCACAGTCTGGGAAGAGAAACTTTCCAGGAGCTTAAGTAGCCTGTGTTTTTTGTCTACATTCTCCAAAAGTGAAAAAATAAAAATGAAGTTGGCACTGTAGAAGTTCACTCTCACACTTCTAGAATATGTATTTAAATATTCAAGTAGTTTCCTGCCATCACTTGCAAATACTATATTTCATCGCAAGTATGTCTCTGAGAAATGAAGGTTGTGCACCAGCTGACACGTGGTCTCCTGTGGGTACGTGCCAGCCATTAAAAAAGAAGAGGGAGAAGCGCCTCTTCCAAAGACACGTGTTGCCTCTCTAGCTCCTGCCTGTGCTACAGGATCAAAGTATGCGTGGGAGATTTGGAAACAGGTTCTGCAGTGACAGAATGGGAATTTTTCAGCAGTCAAGGTGTGTGCAGTGAGGCTGAGTGATCAGGGAATTACCAGCTGTGAATGTCTGAAACCCCAAAGCTTCATGGGCTCTGAGAGCTAACGCTTGCAGAAACTTCTAAGGCAAGAAAGCAGCTACTTTCTAGGATGACTGTGGAAGTTCAAGCAGGTAGCTGGGTGCTACTGCCAATAAGTGGGTGTCCAGAGCCTGGTGACCGCAGGTGTTCCCAAGGATGGCATCCTGCATGTCCTGAGGAATCCCAGCATGGGTAGGTTTCTTCTCATGTGAGGACAAATGGTCCAGATTTCCAGTGGGAATTAAAACTCTTTATTTTCCCCAGGTTTTGGATTTATTCCTTTGGTGACTGTTCTCTCTGAACAGTCATTCCCTTCCCCTCTCCTGAAAGATGGAAAAAATGAGAGGAGCAAGGGAAAGAAGGGATGGCAGTCATATTTCTGTAAGGTTTGGTTTTATTTTAAATTAGAGGTGCTATCCTCTAATTAGTTTTACAGGTTTCTAACCCAGTGAGTGTCTAACCTTCTGGTTGATGCTGCAAGACAGGTTTCTGCTCCTTCTGCAGCCAAGAGGTGGTTGCTGGAGTGAGTCTGTCTGGTTGTATCACTTCATTCAGCCCAGGGAGCTTAGGGGGTCCTTCACCACCACCACTGCCACCACCACCACATGCCTCAATTTCTACTCCCCAGGCCAGAACCTCAGCAGATAGAAACTGTACCAAGGTCACTGTGGCTCCCTGATTCATGTGGCCAGAGTGTTTCACTTACTCTGTGTCCCATACGGCTCCGTTTGGCAGCATTTGTCCTAGAAATCTCCAGCTCTGCTATTACTGTGTTTGGGGGCTATAAAGTCAGTGGCTTCTCTTGGAATAAAAATGCTACAGTAGGAGACAACCTTATTTTTCAGTGAGGAAAGTCCACATCAACTTCGCCATTCAATCACAAATCATGACGTGTGCATTGGCAACGTGCCTGTTGGTGTGGAAGCTTTCGAGACAAATACACTATTTCTTCTGAAGAAGAAAGATTCATATTCATTTATCACAAGCAACAAATGCTCACTCCTTCCATAACCTGGGTGATTGGTTGTCTTCCCTGTAGTCACCCTTCCTTTCTCAATCTGTAGGTATTACCTTAAGTGTGCTTGGCAGCGGCAAAATCCAGTTGTTTTTTAACTTAAATGGCTCATAACTCACCTGTAATGGAAACTCCGGTATTTGTTCGAAGACTGTTAAACCCATCACTTCCCACAGCAGCTATTGGAGAAAGTTGTGATTTAACCCAGCAGGTCTTTGAAAAGAAAAAGAAAGCTTCTGAAAAAACACCACTGCTTAGGACCTCCTCAGCAAACTCATCAACACCAGTTGGACATTCAAGCTGCCAACAGTAAATTAGTGCCCTGTAACGATCACAGGCCCAGGTGTGTGGTGACACATGGACATTTATTCCTGCAGCTTCCTCAGGGGATAGTGGTAGTTTGAATAAGGCACTTGAAGCGGCCGAATATTAAAGCTCTCCTGGGAATGAGCTTAGAGGAAATAATTTTTAAGCATCTTTCCTTTGCAAGAAACTTGTTCTCTCCGTTGCATGGTGCTGTGGAGGACTGTCATCTGGGCAGTGCAGGGCTGAGAACAGCGTGGAACAAGCCTGTAGCTTGGACGATGTTGATGAGGAGCTAAATGAGGGGACTCACCCCTTCAGGCTGCTGCCTGAATCAGTGAGTTTGCACCTGGTGCCAGGAGATGAACTGACTTTGACACCAGCTCGTTTTAGCACTGAATGGGGTGAATGGGCTTCTGGTGCTACAGATTTTTGCCATTTATTCAAGCTTTTCTGTAGCAATTCATCCAATTCACAGAGTCCCAGGTTGCTCCCTGCTCCCTTTTCCTGCCTGATGGGAAGTAATCCACCTTGAGCTGTTCTGTTCAAACCAGGGCAGTAGGATTCCTTCCCATGGGCAGCACAGGGGAGAGATCATTTCCCTAAGTCTGCTTTTTAGGGGAGAAATTGCAGACCTAGGCACTTGGTTGTTGTATCTAGAGATCAGGAGTTAAGTTGTCACTGCCCTCAGCTTGTTTTACATGATTAGGACAAACTCCCTATGGCTTTGGCTGTAATAAGAAAAAAAAGAAGCAAGAGTCTCCGGAGGGTAGAAATATGAACTGGGTTAGTGCTTAATTAAGTTCCCTATTAACAATTGTGTAGCAGTCTGGAAGAATTTTAATGTAGCAATTAAAGCAGGGAGCTTTCTTCTTGGCTTTCCACCACCTCTGGGGACACTGTCAGGAATGGGAAACTTCTCAGACCAAGTGCTGTTTATTTTGCTCTTTCCAGCTTGTTAAAAATTGTTTGCAGTTTGGGATGTGGCAGGTGCCCGCAGACATGCTTATCTCCCTGGCACAGTGGAGCACTGGGTGTCTGACAAAGGTTATCATCAAAAAGAAATAGAATTGTAATGCCATTCTGACCCCATAAAAGGCCTCCTATTTCCTGTAGTTTCTCTCTGTTGCTCCCTGGAAGGAAGGGGTGTGATGGCTGAGGCTCAGCTCCATGCTGAAGAGGTGTAGGAGGCAGAGATATGATGCTTTGACACCACCCAGCATCAGTACACAGCATGTGGGTTTGGAAGTGGCATGGAGATATGGAGTTAGAGGGAGATATGTATTTAATAAGCTCAGTAGAGGCTTAATTTAAATAAGTGTAATTGAAATATATTTTATTTTATTATATTTTATTTTATTTTGGAAAGAGGCTCCCTATTAACATTGGGAACACTGTTAGAGTAAGTCTGTTTTCATGTTATTATGGAGGTAACCTGTTCCCATGAGGCCATTTGAGACAGCAAGCTGTAAACTGTGGAACAAAAGACTGTTGAAGGGTTTAGAAACTGGGCATGGAAATATGGTAACAACTATGGTCTAAATTCATTTAACAAGCCAGTGACTGGGTCAGGATGGGACCAGGGATCTCCTGATTCCAACCCAGTGTCTGAGCAGGCGTAGGACGTTCCTGGTGCATGTAACTCTGGACATTATCTTGGCTGCGAATAGAAAAGAAACACACAGGGGCCAGAAGAGCAGCCTAACTCATAAGAGAGGAGTGAAAGAAAAACTCTTTTTTTAAAAAATTAACACTCTGCTTTTGTTGTAATGACTTGAGGGCTGGTATAGGCTGAGGCGAGTTCAGGCCTCTCAGCTGTGAGGCGGCCTGCGTGGCTGTGGTGGGACGTGCAGTCCCCGGAGCCCCCTGTTCATTGCTGGCCCTGGTGACAGGTGGGCTCCTGGGCCTCCCCCCTGTCTGGCTCCCACTGGTCACCATCTGCTGAGCCATTTTCTCTGGCAGAATGGTTTTCCCTTTGGAGACAGGTGGATGATATGAGAAAGGATGATGTTTGACAATGTTTCCAAAAAAAACCCTCTTTTGTCCATTTCTCATGTACCTGTCAGGAACTTGCTTTGGTTCTCAATATCCCTGGAGCCTCAATATCCCCTGGACAGTGACAGTTTCCCTCCTACTTGTGCTCTCAGTGCTGAGCCCTTACAGCAACAACTGGGGCAGTTTGTATGGACCAGCAGCTAGGTGAGCACAAACTCCCTTTGAGGGCAATTGACTTGGGCTTAAAAAACTGTTTGGGACTGTGGGAGCCTGCGTGTCATAAACATCTCCCAAAATACTGCATTAGCTGCCTGGAGAGGCTCTATCATGAACCTGTGATATCTCCTTTCTTACCTCCAGCACCAGTGCCATCAATGCACTGTAACTTCCAGTGTGCAATCTCAGTGTTTTTATTTTTTAGAAAGGACATCATGCTAAGAGTTCTGGTTGGGAATCTCAGAAGCAGTAGTAAGTACCTTGGTCACCATGTCCTTGTCCCCCTCCCATGGCTCTGCATGTCCTTTCTCCTGCACAGATGCTGCTCTCTGCTCTGCGTGTGACAGAGGACTTGGAGAGTGTCCTTCATTTCCATTTACATTTGGATCACATCTTTCAATAAACACTACCATTCCTCTGGAGGTTTGAATAGAAAATGAGCTGGGGAATTTCAGACAAAGACAGCATTTGTCTAGAGCACAAAAGACTTAGGGGAAGGGTATAAGCAACTTGGAGCAGTTGTGAGAGCATCTCCACTCATATTTGAACAGGCAGCTTGGCTAAGTGCAAAGTTGAGATAAGTGTCCTCTTCTCCTTGTATGCTATTAATATTTAGGCCTGGTCTTCCATTATTCATTTCTTTGGGGGGTGCTTTTATCATCTCAGTGCTACAATGCTACCTTCCCCAGGCACTGGAAAAACTTTTCTTGAACGGGCCAGTGGGGATGGCAGCATGAAAGCAGGTCCTTTCAAGGTGTCTGGGGCAGGAGGCCAAGCCTGTCCCCTGCACATTGGCAGCCTCCGCGCCACCCAACAACCCATTAGGGCATGGTGGAAGCAAGAGGGGTCTTTACAGGCAGGTGAACAGGAAGTTTGGAGCATGTGCAGAGAGGGGCTGATGTGCGAGGATGTTTAGCAATCTTATTACTACCTCCAAGCAATGTTGGGGCCTCTCGCATTGGACACAATCAGTTTTCTGACCTAGGCTGTAAAAGGTGCAGTATGAGGGTGAGCTGCGATGTCCTCTGGGCCACCTGCCCCTAGCAACATCCAGCTCAGTCACAACTGCACAGTCCTGCAGTCCTGGCTTCTTCCAAGCGAGAACAACTTCTGCTGAGGCTGGATGGAGAAGGATGTTGGCCCACCTCAATAACTACCTCAGCTGCAGGTGTTTTGGCTAAGAGGCCCAAATGTTATTTTGAAATGGCGGACACATCATCTTTTCTCTCGTATTTCAGTTCAGGGCTTCAGAGTCTTCGCGATGTTCCTCACAAGTTACCACCTTTTGTGCAAACATGTTACATCTGACGAGGGCCTGCACAGTTACAGCTCTGAGAATGGCAGCTTTACAAAACTCTGCTGTAGAAAGACAACTGCTGAATTTGTTTAAGTGATGTGAATAGAATATAGGAAAATTGTCTTTTTCTAGGGTCACAGTAGGGAGAATGAGAACATCTCATAGGCCTAACTCATCTTGGACCCCCATTCGAAAGAGGTGACCAGGCCACTGTGACTCTACAGGCCTCTTCCTCTTTCTGGCCTGGATGCCCCAGGACCCATAGTGAGCACCAGGCAAACACGACATCTCCTCGGTGTTAATGAGGTGATCGGCACCGGAACCAGGCAGGAAGGACCTTCACTCAACTGACTACTTAGCCATCCCCTTCTTTCGCTGGAGCAAAAACCCCAGACCAGCTCCATACGCTTACATTAACCTTGGCACAGCCAGCTCATTTGTATGAGCTGTGGACAAATCAAAGTAAGCTGTGATTAAATACTCAGAATTATTGACATCTGCACTATAAATACCTAACTTGTTAATAGCATGTCTTCCTGTTGATTCACAAAGCCTGACAGTCATTTTGCTAAAATAAGAATAATCAAACTGTGTGTTTCTGAGCACAGCTTGATCAGGTCAGGGTCTGGGAAGAATTCCTTTTTATTTGCTCAAACACTCTTTTTATTTAGTTAAATAGAGTCAACTGTAGAATTGCCATTCCATTTTTTCCCTTCAGAAGTCTGAACCATTTTAAGAAGCATATGTGCTCAGTTCTGTGGTGATCAATCTAATTTCAGAGTTGGTCAAAGCAAGGGTTAGACAGAAAATCTCCATCTTTATCTTTTAAATATATTTCATAGGGTAACACTTTTCTTTCAAAAAACTGTGATGAGAAGATAAAGCCATGAGAAGTTTTGCTAACCAAACACTTGTAAAAATCATTGTGACACAAATCAAAACTTTTCATGTTCATTGTTTCAGAAAATGTTGTGTAAATATTGATATTTCTAAATAAATTAGCTGGTAAGGGTGGTTTTAAAAACAAAAAATATATATAAATTGAGAATTTTCCACTTAGAAATTGTTAAACCAAGTCATTCTGACAATTTTTGAAACAGTACCAAAGTACTCTTTGGATACAAAACTGATCAAAACTTGCTCTCTTCTATATACAAATTGAATGTCAAAGAAATTGAATTTCTCAGTTAAGATAACAAAGCCAAACTCAAAAAAAAAAAGAAAGAAAGAAAAATTCCTGGCTCAGTATTTGTAAAACTCCTGAGAAACAAAAGTAGCAGCTAGTAGATATGAAATTCTGTGTTTACTGTACCAAACCAAGTCACTGGAGCTACTACCCTCTGTTTGCTTTGTAGTCAGTGGAGAAGTTGGCAGCCTCGGAAATGCTTTGGCATACTTGTAATTTGATTCATCTTTCTTGATAGTATTACTTATAAATAGGCATAAACATCTTTTGATCTTGATGACTTTATGTCTCCAGACCGATTTTGCTCTTGTAGGCATCGATCCCAGTCAATATCAAGAGACATTGAACCCTATCAATTTCCATTCCTATCAATAGTTATGGAAATGGATAGGTATTGACCATTATCAATATCTACTGATAAGGATGGATATCAGTAGGGTTGGGGGTTATTGTCTTGTCTTTCTCCACTGACTTGACAAGCAGATAGTCATCTTGGTTGCACTGTTAAAGCTAACTGAAGTAGATAAACGATGTTCAAGTGACTAGCCAAGACTTGAGTGGCATAAGAAACTCTTCTTCTCTTAGGTCAGTGCCTCCCATCTTGAACCTTCACCAATCTTCCATTACAAGCAATGTCATCCTAAATACCCATATCAATTAGAAAGTTCTCAGCTATTTGTATTTTAAAAATGCTCCAAATACACCTCCAAGTTGGTTCACTCAACTATAATCCCATTGCCTTAATCAGATTTTGAATATGGCTGGATTAAAAATGCTAGTGTAACTGGGCTGACTCAGAAACTGGCATCCACAAGCTGGCAGCACCATATGCCAATTCTGATTAACTGCTCAACTACATCCCTTCTCTGCTAAGTGAGCTATGAGAATACCTGTTTCTTCTAACCTCTCATCTAGAATATGACAAGGCAGGTTGGAAGGGCTTGCCACCTGGGACAGAAACATCTGCTGATGTTACTGACTTGAGGTGTTGTCGCAGGGAGGATGAGAACAAGATTTCCACCTGGCAAAGTGAATAACCCTGGGCACTGGTGCTTTCACAGTTCCTTCCCTGAAGGCCACGGGTAATCACATTCACACACCTTGCGGTGCATAGGCTACTAGAGATGTCGCGTGGTGTTAAGTGCTCCTCGCTGCTCGCTAGTCAGATGGCATTGCTCTGCTTCTGCTGCAGAGCTGAGGTGACAGCAGACAGGTGCCTGGGCTGCGTTGCTTAAAAAATGCCCCTTTTCAGAAGTGTGCTGATGAAAGAGGCCGTTTATTATTCATTCCATGTCCGTTTCTGTGGTACGCCAGTGTATAGTTGCCTCGCAGCCACCAGTGAGACGATGGCACGTACTCTTTCTGGGCAGGAAGCAACGGGAAGGCAACAATTTATTTCCTCCAAAAACCATAAAACCATTTTATAGTAAAGTCTCAACATAGCCACAAGGAGGCTCAGTAGAATTCAATGCTTAATTGCTAAGTATTGACAGACACTACTCTTTTTGTGCTGTCTCTTGCTCCTGACGCACTGACTGCAATTTCTTATCGACTTCAGATTCGGAGAGCAACTGCAAGGGAAGGAGATGCTGATCGTTGAGGAGGACGCGCTGTGGGCCAAGAGACAAGGACAGGGGCACTGAGCAGAAATTGTAACTGTCGGTAGATTCTTGCAACCAGAAATTAATGTTGATTTTAGCTGTCAACTATCAATAAAAATAAACCTTGGATCCTACCAGGCCTAGTTATAAAGCCGCATGGTCATTATATTAATCACTGCCTGAGTGCATGGCACTCTCCGCTTCTATCTCAGAGAGGACAGAGTACTGCCTGCCCAGCTTACGGGGCATGATGTGAATTGAAAGATGGAGATTATGTAAATCCAGCACTCTGGCAAGAACCTTGGACCTGTCAAAGTGTGGGCAGGCCCCAGGAAACAGCCTTGCCCAGGGAGTAGCCTCGCACATTGGCCTGCTGTGTCCTGCCACTTCTGTCCTGGGATGGAGGATGGACTCCAAGGCAGGGCTCACCCTCCTCTGCTTGTTCCCTTACTCCTGAGCTGATTGTCGTGTCAGGAAGAGCTGACACATCTGACTTTTCCCTTCCCAAAAGACTGAGTTTTTCCCTCCTGCCCTGGAGCTCCACCAAGGCCTGCGCACCCCTCTCCTTCCATGGTCCTATGAGTGCCAGCTCCAGTCATGCAGAATCATGCTAGCTTGCTTTTTTTATTTGATTTTTTTAAAAAAATTGATATGTTTTCTGGGCCTTCCAAGTACTGCAAGGCTTATTCTGAGGTCCAAGCAGCAAGTGGAGGCAGCTAGGAGAGGACACGCTTCCATGGCACAAGGACTCTACAGATGGGCCTCATGAGCCTGAAAATACAAAGTTATCACACAATAATTTGTTTTAATGACCAAATGACAGTGCTCTGTGTATGTTGGGAGTTTTAGTCACTTGATCACAGGTAAGATATTCTTCATAAATATGGGGTCCATTTAAGCCTACAACAAGAGAAGTTGGGATTCCAAGTTAAGCTTAAAGAATTGTAAAAATTTAGAAAAAAAAAAAAAAAAGATGTTGAATCAAGACAAGACACTGACATTGGAAAAGTAGTGGAAACAAAACTAACCTGATTGGTAATAACCCAGAATAAAATATGTTCCCAGTGACTTTTAAGGAATGCAGCAAGTGACCTTTAGGCTGCTAAGATCAAGAAGATAAAACTGTGTTTCATAATCATAGAGTTTTTAATATAAGCCAGCGCACCATTATAGCAGTTTGTCTGACATTAAAAATTTTAATTTACTGCAGAGCTAGAAATAGTTGCTGTAAGTATGATATTGTTTTGCATTCAGTGTATTTAGTGTATTTATTGACATGGAAAATCAACAAAGATTAATTAAAAGTGATTAATTCAGGCCAGAAACATGCAAATTCTGGCAGTAGCAAAAAACCTCATGTATTGCAAAACCATAATTTGCTTCCTTGGTTTCTGACAAATGGGAACAAAAAAGAATAAGAGGAAAAATCCTTGGACTCCTCACCTCACAGCAAAAGCTTCTGTGCTCAGAGAGGGAAAACACGGCTCCTTTATGGCACCCAGGTTCAACTGAAAGTGCAGGCAGTAACCAGAGCTTCTGGGATGTGTTTGGAGCTGGATGACAGAAAACTCATTAAGGGGGAAACCTACAGGTGACAGTGGGCAGGTGTGTGGAACATGAGACACAGGCCAGGCGAATCAGAGTGATTTGGAGGCTTCATGCAGAACAGACCTGAAACAAACCCTCCCCAAAGAGAATCCAGGGGAGCTCCTTCTATTAGCAAGACAACATGACCCATCCTGGCTCTGTGCATTGCGGGTTGAACAAGACTCTCATCTATCTATGACATTTTCACACCATTTGACAATGTGAAAGCACTTCTGAAAAAGAAGAAACAGGGCAGAATAGCCTTTTTTTGGAGGCCTCCTCATTCATTGGAACATGCTTAAAAGGATCTACAGAAACTTTGCCTTGGTGAGCAGGAGAGGGATCAACACAAGCCCAGAACAGCTTGCCCTTCAGTTACCTTCTGCCTCACAGACTCAGAAGGACTTTTGGGAAGATGACTTTCAAGAGCAACCTGGCATGCTCTGTGAATAAATGCCATCACTGACACAACCTGGGAACCGATTTGTCCATCTGTGTTAGGAATTAGGAGGTCCTGGCTGCCTTTGCTTCCAGTGTGGGGAGGAAGGAAGAGGTTTCTCAAACATTATTAAAAACATAGCTAGACACAGTTTTAATATGAAGAAAATAAAGCAGAAATAAATCGCAAAACAGAGAACATCATTGCTATTTATCTTTTTTCTTCCAGGCAGAGAAAGTGCTAAGTACCAGCACACAGAACAGGCAGCTCAAGGCTTTCCTGAGATTGTAGTAGTGCCTTCTGCTGCAAGTAATAGGAAGAACAAGGCATTTGCTGGATAGTGTATGTAAGCTATTGCTATCAGGCTAAAAAAAGGCAGACTGAGGCACAAGGCCAGCTGTGCCCATTAGCTGTTAATATACTGAAAATAATTATCATAGAGTAAGTGCATCCAGTTCTACACCTAGTGCCAGGGCTAAGCTCTTAGTAAGCCCAGGTGCCAGGGACACCATGGATGATTTTCAGGCAGGACCTTTCTAGAATGTGTCAGCTCTAAAACACAGACAGATCCCTTCAGATGCTAGGAGAGATTTAGTATAACTCCACAGAGTGTGCTAAGCCACTGGGTTATAAAATGACACCTTGCTGCCTCTTAGTAATTCTGGCAGAAAGCGAGCAGACTGCTAGCAGACTCTTAAAAGATGTAACTGAAAAAAAAACCTCTGAATTCTGCAAACAGGAGGCCTAAGAGGAGGATTTTTTTTTCTTCCCAAAAAGCTGAGATTCTCAGATGATAACATGAATCTTTACAGAAATCGCTTACTTGAAGAGCTGGAAAAAATGAAGCACAGCAGCCAAACTGGGTATGACGTTGGCAATAGACGGGATGTAGATCTTCACTTACTTTTGCTTTGTGCTGAAAGAGAGAATAAAGCAAGCTAATAACTTACCTACTCACATGAGCAGTGTGTAATTTTAGACATTCCCAGGACTTGAAGGACTCCTTTCACCCCTTGAAATTCCTCCTTGGCTACCAGGTGTTCTTTTATCATCAAGCTCTGCACTGAACACACTCCACATTTGCCTCTAAACTGTATTGCAGAACATGAGTTGGGGAGAGCCTGAATAGGAAGGTCTCAGAGATTGCTATTTCTAAAGGCCCTTCACGGAAAAGTGAGCAGGAGAAGGAAACTGTATACCTGCTATCCATACCAACACAGGACCTCTATATTCGCATCCTTTCCTTGAACCTGGGAAGGAATAGCAATTCATAAAACCTCTGGCTCTCCTGAAAAAAAAGGGTTATGTGGCAGCCTTACAATTCGGAGAACAGCAAGTTCCTCATTGTGCCGCTCGGATGTGATCTGCTGACCCAGAGGACAGGGAGTGAGGCCATGGTGCTGCATTGCACCCTGCAGCGCAGGCTCCCCTGACGGAGACCTGCAGCTGAACGAACCTGATTTTAACCACCTGGTCTGGTGTGATGCTGCCTGACCCAATGGGCCAGGTATTGCCATGGGGCTGGACCCAGCTCTTCCTGGGGTCCGGCTGTGACTGAAGTGCAAACGTAGCCTGGGAAGTGTATGAAGCCTGGCTGAAGGGCTGGAGAGCACCCAGTGGGGCAGATGGCTGCTGGAAATGTGCTAGGGCTGTGAGCTGGAGGGCACGACTGCCCACAGGCCTCTGAGCAAGGAGCAGCACTGAGGAACCTACTTCGACCCCATAGAAACCCTGTATTCAGACCTGCTGCTGGAGAGCAACCAGCTGACCAGCGCAACCGCATCCGTCTTCTGCTTCATCAACAGCACGGTAACAAAGTGCCTGCAAAAAGCAGAGTTATACTGGGGCTTTGCTCTAATCTGTGTACTTTAGTCAGCTACTTCTCTGTCCTGAACATTTCCCTTTCCTGAGCTAGCATTTTGGCTGAGCTTTGGTCTTCCCATAGGTTTTTTTTTTTTTTTTACTTCTGCCAGACACCATCCTGTGTGCCCGTTGCAGAGCCCGGGGGAATGTCTGGCTGGGACACGCAGAGGGGGTAGGGGAGCGCAGGGGAGCTGCTGCTGAGCACGGCGAGCGGTTGAACTTCTCGGTGCAGAAAAAGGAGCAGCTCTCACTGCTTCCCATCACCAGGGGGACCCCTCGGACCAGGCATGGGGCCTCCCGGCACAGCGCGGCTGGTGGGGCTGGTGGCAAACGGGGAAGAGCCCTGCGAGGGGTC